GGTGATGAGAAGGAACTCTGTCCTACTATGCTGATCAGACCACCCTGAAAATTATTGTGGTCAGTAAAGACTGGAACAGGTTTTGATACATCGGGCCAACGTTATGTGAGGAGGGAATAGGAAACATTCAGCTCAGAATATACACACACTGCGAACCATAATTTCTGGCTTTCTGTGTTTGAAGAGCTTCCAGGGGAAGAGGAGGTTGTGAGTGCTGAGCAGCTCAGAGGACCGAGAACTTCAGAAAGGTGGCAATGTACCCAGAACAGCGTGCATCAACCCCAAATGGTATTGCCTCCACAGGACTTGGGGAGTGAGTTCTCATCACCAGAGGTGTTCAACACAGGCTATGTGACCACTTGGAGGAAAGTATGGGGAGGAAAGAAACATTAAATTGGGGGCTAGAGTAAGTGACATTTAAGGTCCTTTATACCCAGGCAGTACTTGAAATTCCATGTTTGTATCCTGATCTGAATGCTGGAATCAGAGAGGCAATGGTGCAGTCTGCCTCTGCCTCTCTTTTCTTCCGCCAGGCTGCAGTCTCAGCTGAAGATATGGGCTCCTTGAACACATCTTTCTCCTCCCTCTTTTTGCAAGAATAGCTTCACACAAGACTGTAATGGCCTCTTAGCCTGTGATCAAATTCAGAGAGAGCTATGCAACTCTTTTATGAAAAACACGAGTGGGGGCATTTAAACAGGTTTCTTCTTCATATGCTTCCAGCAGAATTTCAGCGAAGCTAATAAACTTGGTTGGTAGAGGCTTTAATCAGCAATGGATTTGGACAGTTCAAGGCAACAGCATTTCCAGATGTTAAAGACTGGGATGGCCTGAGATTTGATGAACAAAAATAGAGGTCAACCACAAACAATGAAGTATGAGTGGATAGTCCTGAATGGCTATCAGTCCTTGCACCAGCTCTCGGGGAAACCATGGGCTTCCTGTCCTTGTTGCTAACACAGCTGCCTTTCTTTGGCGCTGTTAACAGCTCTTGTGGAAAGCTTGCTTGGAGTCCAATCATATTTAGGTGTTAGTGGGAGAGGTCAGAAAGGCTCTCTAAACTCTAGGACACAGGATTCCAGAAAGAAACTTTCACATTCTGGGAATATGGCTTGTCAGGAAATCCACCCAACTCATTCTGGATTAAAGAAAAAGGAAAATGTTTTGGCTTTTGTAAACAAAAAATTCCAAGTCATATCTGCCTCAGGTAAGGTTTGATCCAGCAGATTATAGGATAGCACCAAGAAGCCTCTTGGTATTGGCTTCCTCATCAGCTTCTGTACAACAATACGTCCCCCTCCCGATATCTCTAAATACTTCCTTTCATGAATGCAAATGTTTCTGACATCAAAAGCTTTGTATCTATACATAATCATCAATTAAAGAACTAGGTCATTAATTCCTATGGTTGGGATAAAGTCATATGTTGATGGACTTAGGACACTTGGTGTTCAAACTTGATGCTGCATCTAGGGTAAATCCCACCCAAGCTTTATGACCGAGAATGGTAAGGAGTCCTTCATCAAAAGAAGTTTGGGGTATTATTTTACCAAAAAATTGAAGATGGCTACCGGGTGAAAAAATGAAAACATGCCCACTTTAGCCTGAAAGTATCTGGTCCTGAGAAGATAGTTCCTCACCGTAACTTTCCTCATCTCAGGTTTTCTGGTGGATCTTAGCATCTTTTATCTTTTCTCTGCCATCTTTTACCAAAATTTTTGCAGAGTTCAGATGCTGAGGCATCTTAACTTTCTTAGAGAAAATCAGAGGAGATTAATGAGGCTGACAAAGAGCTGCTGTCCTGAGGCACAGCTTGTGGGGGCCACCATTTTGGAAGAACCACAGGAGCCAGTGTTCCCTCTCCCACGAGTGATACATCTACAAGATGCTCTTTGGAATGGGGCTTGCCTTGCACAAGACCAGCCATGCCTTCATTAGATATGTATAGTGTTCCGAGGCTTGCAGAACCTGCGCAAACAGGTCAGCGAGATTTCTTTAATTTGATCACAGGAGAGTTTCCACAGGAGCTTGGTCCATGTCTTGTAGAACTGTCCACCATTCCCCGGTGTTCAGGGGCAGCCTTGCAAAGATCATAATCACTGAGAGTGGCACTGTCGACAGGCATGAATAGATCCCTTAATTTCATGGTTTAAAAATACGTTAGTTGACCTTAGTGTGATTCCAATATTTCAGTCATTTACATGTCATGACTCAGTACTCATTCACTAAATATAGTGCTTTTCGAATGAAGAACGGAGATGAAAATTTTTCTTAATGATGACAAGTGATATAATTTACTTTTATTTCTGTCATATCATGGTGCCCATGAGCCTGGCCACGGCTGAGGGTCTGCCTGTGGCGCCATGGTGAGCTCCTTTTAGCAAAAGGCTCCACTGGATGCATCACTTGAGCCAATACTGGTCACGTGTGTCTTGAGTCATCCCCCACTTGGATCCTTGGTCCTGTTTGGTTTGAGCTCTTTGGCTTCATCAAAGGACCTTCCCAATAAACTTATACCTTCTAGAAGTAGGAGGTGTGGCTGGGTTAGGGGAGGGAAGGTGATAGGGGGAAGGGATGGATGCTGTTGAAAATCTTGGGTTTTGTGGCCATGAGGGAACTGGGCAGAGGACTGGAGTGAGTCTGAGGATGGTCAAGATCCTGTTTTCCTCAATAGCGCCACCTCCTGGCCTGGCTGCATTGGATGTTATTCACGGACAAAGTTCATAGCTCTTCAGAGATTGGGATGTGATAATTGGTGCTGTGCTTCCAATGGGAGCTCTCTGAATTTAGAAAGCCTCGTTGGTGGAGTTGGTATTTTGTAATCCCCTGACAGATAAAAGTCTCACTTTGAAAACCGAAAAACAACTCCCTCCCAAATAGTGCTTCCAGAGCCTGGGACTCGGGAATGCTCTGTAATAACCAGAGGTCCTACCCTCAGGATTCACTCAGCCAAGCCCCGATCATCCCCTTTGGTTGGCTTCTTTTGCAGTGGTTCAGTGAGGCTTTACAGGGATTGCTTTATTCTATATTAATCTGTAAGGATACTAAGACCATTACGATTTATTGGTGCAGAGCTTGTAGAGAGTGGGAGAAGCTGAAATCTACACGTTAGGCTCTAAACTCCTTAGGATGTTTTAACTTTTTTTTTTTTAAGAACAGGCATATTCATTTATTTTTGGCTGCGCTGAGTCTGCGTTGCAGCTGGAAGGCTCTATGTTGGGTTGCCTGGGCTTCTCTCTAGTTGTGGTACACAGGTTCAGTAGTTCTGGGACACTGGTTTAGTTGCCTCTCAGTGGATGGGATCTTAGTTGCCCATCCAGGGACCAAACCTGTGTCCCCTGCATTTCAAGGTGAATTCTTAACCACTGGACTGCTAGGGAAGTCCCTGTTTTAAGTTTTAGTGGACACTTTTTAAAGAGAACCACCGTTTACATTGGGTTTCCCTTGTGGCTCAGACGGTAAAAAATCTGCCTGCAGTTCAGGAGACCTGGGTTTGATCCCTGGGTCAGGAAGATCCCCTGGAGAAGGGCATGACAACCCTCTCCAATATTCTTTCCTGGAGAATCCCATGGACAGAGGAGCCTGGCGGGCTACAGTCCATAGGGTTGCAAAGAGTCGGACACGACTGAGCGACTAAGCCCAGCCCAGCACCGTTTATATTTACCGCCTTTCCAATGCAATCAAATGGTGTGCAGCCCTGGGCCTGCAGCTGGCCCTGGCTTATAACCCTTGAGGCAACCGTGGCAGCAAACATCAATTATTACTCAACTCAAAGAAAGCCCAGTGCCACCAGGCATCTAGTGCTAAAGAGAGCTTTCCCCAAACTCTCAGAGGCCAGATGGCATTGTTCCTCCTTGGGTTGGGTCCAAGCATTGTTCTGGGGCAATTTAGAGATGGAAATGGATATAGCCAGACTGCAGCGAGTAACAGCCCAGAGAGCCCTGCATTGGGGGTTGGACCTTTTGTCTTTGCATCCAGACTTTTGTCTGAGCCCTTTCCCCCAGCTATGTCAGCTTTTTCCATCTGTAAAATCTGTACCATCTGGGGCTGCAGCGCGCGGCCTGGGATGCTGAGCCAGCCGCTGCTTCACCTCGCGTCCGCCGTCAGCTGCAGGAGGATGAAGCTGCTGCTGGGCATCATGCTACTTGCCTCCCTGGCTTCTGTTTGGGACAACTTGGTTAACATGAGGTCCATTCAGGAAAATGGGGAGCTCAGAATTGAGAGCAGGATTGAAGAGATCATTGAACCAGTAAGGGAGAAAATCAGAGATTTGAAAAAGAGCTTCACCCAGAGATACTCGTCAGTAAAACTTTTATCAGAAAAGGACTGTAAAATAATTTTGGTAACCGGGGACGCGGGCTTTGTGGGTTCCCACCTCACGGACGAGCTCATGATGGATGGCCACAAAGTGACCGTGATGGACAACTTCTTCAAGGGCAGGAAGAGGAACATGGAGCACTGGATCAGCCAGGAGAACTTTGAGCTGATCAACTATGACGTGTTGGAGCCACTGTAGGTTGAAGTGGACCAGATCTACCACCTGGTCTCTTCTGCCATCCCTCCCAATTACATGTACAACCCCATCAAGACACTAAAGACCAACACCATCAGGACACTGAACATGCTGGGGCTGGCAAAGCGAGTTGGGGCCCGTCTATTCCTGGCCGCCACCTCAGAGGTGTACGGAGACCCCGAAGCCCCCCCACAAACCAAGGATTACTGAGGCCACGTGAATCCCCAAGGACCCCGAGCCTGATACAGTGAAGGGAAGCGAGTCTCGGAGATCATGTGCTACACTTGCGGGCAGCAGGAGGGCGTGGAGGTGCACGTAGCCAGGATCCTCAACACCTTCGGCCCCGAATGCACATGAACGATGGCCGGGTGGTCAGCAACTTCATCCTGCAGGCGCTGCAGGGGGAGCCACTCATGGTGTACAGATCCGGATCTCAGACGAGGGCCTTCCAGTAGTCAGTGACCTGGTGAATGGCCTCGTGGCGCTCATGAACAGCAACATCAGCAGCCCCTTCAGCCTGGGGAACCCGGAAGAACACACCATCCTAGAATTTGCTCAGCTCATCAGAAAACTCGTTGGCAGTGGGAGTGAAGTTCAGTTTCTTTCTGAAGCCCAGGACGACCCCCAGAGAAGGAAACCAGACATCAAGAAAGCGAAGCTGGTGCTGGGGTGGGAACGAGTGGTCCTGCTGGAGGAAGGGTTAAACAAAGCCATCCTCCACTTTCGGAAGCAACTTGAGTACCATGCAGATAACGAGCACATCCCCAAACCAAAGCCGGCAAGGATGAAAACAGGACGGATACGCCATAACTGAAAACCTCAGCTTTCGGGACTGTAGATGCCCTATTTCACACTTGACAGGAATTTTTTTGTTTGTTTGTTTAAAGAAAGACCAACTAAAACAGGTGTCATGAAGAAAAAACTGGAATTCATACTGAAGCTTAAGAAAAAACTGGAATTCATACTGAAGCTTGCTTTAAGAAATGGATGTGCCTAAAAACTCCCCTAAAAAATCTACAGATTTTGCCTTGCACTTTTGAAAATCTTTTAATGTAAATTGGCGTGGATGCATCGCGGCATATTTTCAAGGTTTTTTTTTATCTTACTGCGAGAGCCTAAGTCGTGGCTATCGTCGACAGTTTTATTTACTGGTTTCTTTGTGAAGCTGAAAAGGAATATTAAACGAGGTGACAATGCCAATTTATTTATGAAGTGGGTACTTATAAATGAGACGTTATTCTGTGCATAGAGGAGAAAAAGAAGACCAGGAGTAATGTCAGGTGGGTGGCATACCGCGTTAATTCTCAGGCAGAGAAAAGAATTCTGCTCGAGAGCTTTGGGATGTTTCTTCTAATGCAGAATTTTTCCAAGGCCTCAGTTTTAGTTGCAAACTTGACTTTGAAATGTTTTTGTTGGTTATCATGATTAAGGATATTTGGAAGAACTACTGTGTCGTGTTGCATATGGGGGTGGGGGGGTGGGAGGAAGTTAATATTCTTGGTTAACAGTGGTTAAATATGCTATTTCAATAAAATATTGAAAAAAAATCTGTACCATCTGTATAATGGTGCAGATGATCTCTGACGGCTGTATTGTCCCACTAGTCTGTAATTTAAAAAGATGTTTAATATATAATTTTATTATTTTATTTTATTTTTGACTGTGCTGGGTCTTCCTTGCTGTTCATGCTTTTCTGTAGTTGCAGTGAGCGGGGGCTACTCTCTAGTGGTGGTGCAAGGGCTTCTCATTGCAGTGGCTTCTCTGGTTGTGGCACATGGGCTTGCAGCGCTTGGGCTTCAGTAGTTGCAGCTCATGGGCTCTAGAGCACAGGCTCAGTAGTTGTGGTACATGGGCTTAGTTGCTCTGTGGTATAGTGGGGTCTTCCCAGATCAGGGATCGAACCCGTGCCTTCTGCGTTGGCAGACGGACTGTTTACCACTGAGCCACCAGGGAAGCCGGCGATTCTCTTTGTTTTGACTGTTATTTGGAACATCTGGGAAGTGGGCTGTGTCCAGGCCAGCAAGCATTAGGAAGCAGGTGGGTGTATGTGAGACTATGAAGGTTTTGTCTCTTCGTGGAGTTTCCGTGGGGTGGACACTGCAGCACGAGGCATCTTAGCAAGTCTGAGTGGACTCAGCCAGGACTCCCTTGCCCAGCTCCATGTAGGCAAAGGGATTTGATCTGGGCCCTTCACGGTGCTAGAAACTAATGGACGTGTATTTTATGTTTACCTGAAGATGGACGTGGTTGGCCACAGGGGGTGGTGGAGAGGGAAGCAAAGACACAAAGAAAACAGCTCATTCCCGCCCCTGCCCTGGGACCCCAGTCTCTCAGGGCACTGCCATCCTTGTAAGCTCCAGGGGAGAGACTTCCCCTCTGTGTTGTGGGGAGGGGTCTGTCTGCAGAACGCAATGCCCTCTGGCCATCCTGGGCCCAGAATGACTAGGCCACACTCAGTTGAACTTGGGACTTGGAGGCTCTGAAAGGTCAGCTAGTTTCCTGGCAGGTAGGCTTCCAGGAAGGGTTTGCTGGTGAACTGCTCCCCAGATCTGGGGTTTGGGGGTCTCCCCTTATCCTCTGCACGTAGTATTAGTCTTCTTCCTGGACCACAGAGCTTACAGCAGAGCTGAGAGGAGGTGCTGGGACTGTCCTGGGGTGTTATTTAAGTAGCCAGGACTCTGGCTGTGTCCGTGGGCTCCCAGGGTCCATGCTGGTGGTCGTGAATGGCCTCCTCTGGCCCCCATCATCCGGCAGGAAGCTGGAAGCCCAGTCAAAGGGCTTAGAGAGTTGGGACCTTCCTGGTCTTCATTTTAGCCTCAAAAGTGAAAAATGTACAGATGATTTTGTTTTCCTCCTGTCAACACTCTTGTTTTCTAGGGCCCAGAACCTAGGCAGTACCCGGTAGTCCCTAGAGCACAGACTTGGGAGTTTGGGGCCCAGCAGGAGACAGATGACGCACGCAAAGGGTGCAGATCAGAGGAGTTCAATGAGAGGACAATTTGTAAAGGAGCAGGTGGGACTTAGGAGTGTGGGTGTGGGAGTGGGGAAGTCCAGACCTGAGTGTTTGGGGGACAGAGCATCTTGGAGCCTGAAAGCAGAGAGGAGAAGAGGGGTCACCAGTAAAGAGCATCCCAGCCAGGAGGGAGCTGGGAGAGTGAGTGGCCCCACTTTTTCTATCCCTCCTGCTCTTTTCTGGGGGCTCCCACTGGCTGAATCGACAGGAAACCCAAGACATGGCCCATGTCCATGTAAGGACAGCCTCCCTGTGTGGGGAAAGGACCCTCAAGTTTATCTAGATAAACTCCAAGCCTATAGCTAACTTGGGCAAGTCACTTCCCCTCCGTGTGTCTCAGTTTCCTTATTTGTGAAACAGGGAAAAATAGTGGCTCGCATCTCATAGTTGTGAAAAGTAAATGAGAGATTCTTCTGTGGCAGTTTTCTAGATTCCACAGATGAACCTGTTTTCAGGATGGGGATAGGGATGCAGACGTGTAGAACGGATATGCAGACAAGGAGTGGGGTGGGGTAAGGGGAGGGTGGGATGAAACGGGAGGTTAGGATCGGCGTATGTACTCTACCATGTGTAAAATGCAAAGCTAGTGGGAAGCTGCTGTAAGCACAGGGGTCTCAGCTTGGTGATCTGTGATGACCTAGAGGGCTGGGATGGGGGAGGTGAGAGGGAGGGGATACATGTGCACGTGTACTTGATTCACTTCGTGCTACAGCAGAAACTAACCACTTCGTGCTACAGCAGAAACTAATTGTTGTAAAGCAGTTATACTCCAATAACAGCACCCAAGTAAATGAGAGAATGTTGGCAAATTGATGAACTACCATTACAAGGTGTTTAGGAGGACCAAGTTCTGTGCCATACGCTGCGTGAATAGAGTCCTTGCATTATGTGCGACAGCTAGTGAGGGGCATGGTCTGTGTTTGAGTCAGGCAGCTTGAAACCTGAGGGCTTCTCTTGGCTCTTGCCCTTCTCCATCTGGCCTGGGAAGCGGCTGTGAAGGTGAGTGTGATGATGGTGACTTGTTACGGAGGAGTGAGTCATGTGTGCAATGCAGGGGCCCCATCTGAGGACCCGTTTGTGTCATGGGCAGTAGAGGGGCAGCGGCTCCTATAGGTCTGTGTTAGGTGAGCAAGGGATGTAGAAGCCACTCAGCTGTTGGGAACGAGAGGCCTTCTGATCCCACACGCGTGGCCTTCAGCTGTCTTTCTGCTTCTGGTGAGTGAGTGCAGAGCAGTTTGCAGGACAAGCCCCGGCTCTCATACTGGCCCCAGGGAGCAGAGCCATCCAAGGTCTGGCCACTTGGATGCAGAGTCTAGTCTTTTCTTCAGAAAGAAAGTACCACTATGTATGGGAGGCGGAGTCTCTCTCAGCTGGGCAGGCACATATCTACCTTGGGAACTGGGAGCTAGGGCTTCCCAAAACCAGTGGGAAGCGAGCCGGCTGGGTTTGTCTGGGTACCAACTGCATCCCTTATTTATGTTTCCCTGAAAAACAACCAGTGTGTTTTGATGATTTCTAAAGAGTTTCAAAACAATATACTTAATTGCTCTGAGTAATTTCAGAGCTCATTAATGTAATAAATCTCTGGAGAGAAATCTTCTTAGTTAATGATCAGCATAAAATCAGAGTCTCTCACAGTAGACTTTCCATCATTCCACAGAGGAGACAGAATAGTGGACATAGTTGATGGAGGAGGCCTGTCTCGCCAAAGCCGGCTTATCAGTAGGTTTGGTGGTCTTGAAGTTTTGGAGTTCCAGCTCGGTGGCTTTTGTTTAAAAATGAGAGAATTGCCCATCTGCTCTGGGCAGCTCCCATGAGCCCTCACTGAGTGCTTTGGGGAACTTACAGCTGCCCTTATTGTTAGTCTAATTGCTCAGTTGTGTCCGATTCTTTGTGACTTCATGAACTATAGCCCACCAACCTCCTCTGTCTATGGAATTCTCCAGGCAAGAATACCAGAGTGGGTTGCCATTCCTTTTTCCGGGGGATCTTCCTGACCCAGGGGTTGAACCCAGGCCTCCTGAACCGCAAGCAGATTCTTTACCGTCTGAGCCACCAGCTGCCATACATACTCCTAAGCCAAAGCAGAATTCCTGAAACTCCCGGTGCATTCCTCCGTCAGTCTGCCGCAAGGCAGTAAAGGTAGCTCCAGCTGCCCAGTTAGGCCAGCCAAACACCTGCGGCCACCCCTGGCAGATCAGTTGCAGAAGTGGCCCAAGTCCTCACCCTTTGCTGTCTGTCTCCAGGGTGCTGCTGTTTCTATTTGCTCCCACCAAAGGGTGTTAACAAATAAGACAGAAGCAGAGGCATGAAGATGTTTTCTGACAGGGGCTCGTCCACACTTCTGCCTTGGCCTTCCTCATTAGGCCATGCCTGGGCTAGGCTGCTGGAGGAGGAGAGCCAGGTGGCCTACTTGCCCAGTCAATAGCTAACCAACCTCCAGAGGTCAGAGTGAGCATTGTTAAGACCAGAAGAACGATCCCGCCAAGCCCGGCCTAAATTGCTCAGTTCTGATTTGTCAACTAATTAAATGCTTACTGTCTCAAGCCCCTGAGTTTGGGGGTTTTCATACAGCATCACTGTGGCAGACTGCAGCACCATGACCCATCTCTCCTCTGCAAAACCCCAACCTCCTGCCCCATACAGGCATCCTACTCTCCAAGCTCATCCCTATTATGCCCATGTCTCTCCACCTCCCCTGGTAGCTGAACACCAGTCACCTTGCATCTACTCTTTCCCACTCAGAGTCTCTTTGCTTACTGGGGCCTAGGTGGTCTTTTTGGCAATAGAGCATCCTCCCC